TAAAAATAACATCTGGCATAGGGCCGAACTTGAGCCCTAGCACTAGGCAGAACTCACATTTCAAGAAGAAGGCCTTGGTATTGCCTATGGTAAACCATAACTCATCTCAATAGTGTCGGGTTCATCTATTCTGCACAATAGTAGGTTATGCATGAGATTTTCATAGAATAAACTTTTTTTCTGATTTGATGTCCATCAGCTTCCTGAAGCATGTTCTTTTCATTATGTCCAACTCATTTTTTTTCTATAGTGACTCTCCTATAACATGCAACTGCGTCCAGTTACAGTGGATGTTAATGCTAGTGTTGAAGCCCCACTAGTCCCTAATAATATGAAGCAAAGCTTCCATGTTCTTCTATTTTGTTCTAGCCATCTGTAATAAAAAATAGATAACATCTCCAGTTAGCAAATATGATCAAGGAAGATTAAAAAAAAAACCATGAATTAGTTTTTACTATATTCGCATACATAAAAGACTAAAAGATAATACATGAAGCACGTGAGAAGTATCGCTTATTAAGTAACAAAACATATATATACTACAAGTATTAAAGTTGAGAAAAGAATTGAAAAGCGTTAATATCCAAGCAATGACTAGAAAACAATCACACAATGCCCTATCAAACACTCATGTAATGTCAAAAAATCAATCACATAATACCTAAAAACCAGTCACGTAATGCCTTATCAACCAGTCATGTAATGCCTATTAACAATCACACAATACCTAAAACCAATATGTTAGAGAAGGATCTTAGTGGATTGATGTGATTGTGTAAAGCATGGATTTCAAAAAAAAACTTTTATAAAGGAAGCAAGCAATCTAATTACACAAGCGGAAACACACATCATTATTATTGCAAGCAATATAATCACATCCCAAAACAAATGAAAATCTATTAAGTAAACAAATGATACCTTTTATTTTGAGATTCTTATTTTCGAACACCACCACACCAATGAATGATTTCTCGACCAAACAATTTACCACTTATTCTTCAAGAATGATTTCAACTTGAACCTTAAGTGGACAATGTGTGGAATGCTAGACTACAAGATGACAACCAATTTTGTCTCTTTTTTCCTCCTAAAAATTAGTGACTATTTTTCTTTTAAAAAAATTCAACCAAGAATGGGAGAGAGGAAGAAAGAAATGGTAAAGTTTTGGTGGAGGAAGGATAAGTGACAACTGAAAACTTTTTCAAGAAAAAAGTACGTTCATTTATTTTCTTTCAATCTCTTCTCTTTTTATTAAAACTCTTGTCTCAAAGATTTAATCAAAATCAAACACCATTGAAGCGATCTTGACCATCCATATAGAGTTATGGAAGCATCAAACATGCTCCATAATGATCAAAATTAAAATTAAAAAATAAATAATTTAATTCTTTAATTATCATTTAATGTTCTTGATAAAATAAAACTCCTTATTGGATAATAACTTTTATTTTATTATTATCTTCTTTTTTAAAAAATTAATAATAAATAAAAAAAGTGATAGTTAAACATGGAGTCTCTTTTTATCAACATAGATGTCTAGATTCATTTTGTAAGAATCTTTCTAACATTATCTTAATTTAAAACAACTTTTGTCTTTAATTAAGATAAAAATATTTTATCTTGTCTAAATTGAGACAAATATATTTTCTTATCTAGATTAAGATAAAAAATATTTTTCTTGTCTTAAATTAGGATAAACATATTTTCTTATCTAAATTAAGACCAAACATGTTTTCAAATTTAGACAAATATGTTAAAATTGTCATTTTTGTACACAATTTAATTAATCAAATAAAACATGCTTTCCAACTTAAACAAGTTGAATTCTACGAAATTAAATGGAAAATCTATTTGAGCATAGATATTCCAAACTCTAATAAACTTAGAATTATTCTTAATCTTATTAAAAAATAATTTAAGCTTATTAACCATGAACTCACTCCACCATAGATTCAAAGCTGCACTCTTAGATTAACTATAATTATAAGAAACAATTCAATACTTGATATTAATTATTAGTTGTCCAATTGCAAACCTTATATTGTGAACCCTCATAACCATTGAATGACAAAATATGAAATTATTGTTTTACCCTTTATGTAAATTTTGTTTTCTAGTCTTAAATTTCATCCAATTATTGATTTAATACTCTATATCTAATCCATTGAGTATCTAGATGTGATGAGTAGCTAATTCATCAATCCACTGGACTCAAATTAATCACTAATCTTCCTGAAATCACTAGTAGTGATGTTAATGCTATAAACTCCATTATTTGGATATATATTGTCAAATGTTCATCTTGATTAGAATCCCAAAATACAGAGTCTAGATCAACACTTTATGATGATCATGCTCATAGTAAATCAAATATTATAAGGAGACTAAACACGAGTCCACTATCTATCAGGATTTCAATTCTACTATAACCAAACGCATAAATGTGAGATCAAGATTTAAGTAACGGTTAAACTTAAATATGATTCTCACATGATTTCAGTTCATGTTATAGTGTCATTACTTGAAGTCAACCATTTTGATGATTTGAGACTCATCATTTTCCTGTAATGAATTGCATTCGTTTCGTTGGATGTAATATAGACACTACAACCTTAACACAATAAAGTAACCAACTTTCTTATATGGCTATGAACAATTTTTAGATTCAATTAAAATACATGTTTCCTATGTATGATTTTTCATGCAAATGTATTTTAATATTTCAATAGAATTATGGTATGTTAATGACTAGATAATGAATGCTTACTTAAAACAAACTCTTCGTCTTATTATCAAAATGTACTTTCATTACAAATAAATTTAATAAAATTAAGTATGATAATATACTTGCTTTTCAGGGCACCATATTCTCTAATTCCTAACATAATCACACAATGCCCTATCAATCAGTCACACAATACCTAAAAACTAGTCATGCAATGATGAACAGCCAATCATGCAATGCCTAAAAACCTATCATACAATAACTAACAGCTAGTCACGTAATGCTTAAAAACCATTCATGCAATACTTTACAAACCATTCAAGCAATAACTAAAACCCACTCGCGTAATGCCTATCAACCAATCACGCAATTCTTATCAATTAGTCAAGCAATGACTAAAAATCAGTCACGTAATATCCTATCAACTAGTCATGCAATGCCTAAAAACTGATCACGTAATCCCATATCAACCAGTCATGTAAACCCTAAATCACGTAATGGCTAAAACTCATAAAATTAATACCTAATACTATTCACGCAAGCCCTATCAACCAGCCATGCAAATCCTAAGACACGTAATGCCTAAAACCCCTAAACTTAACGCACAAATCAGTCATGTATGCCTTATCAACCAGTCATACATGCCTTTTCAGCGTTCAACCCAAAAACCACTAACACTACCAACTTCTATTTAACAAAATCAACAACTTTAAACAGCACACCAAATTTTATTTAACAACATAATCAATGAAGAAAAATACCTTTATGCTTAAACCACTTCAAAATGTTTCTATCAATGCTCAAAACGCTCAAGGTTTTTTCTTTGATTGGCGAGGAATGCTTGGTCTGTAGAGGAAAGCTTGGTTTGTCGAGGAAAGTTGAAACATCAAAATGGTAAAATACTTGACCCAAACATATGGATTGGTTTGAGGCGCTGACCCAAACATATGTGTTAATTTCAGTAAAAGTAATTTTATGTAAAATTAATTTATCTTGACTAAAAATAATTAAAATTACGCAAAGAGCTATTTTCAACAACACTTTATGCATGACGGTTTTTTTGTTTTGAAAAAAACCGATTAATTAGTTCACTTTCTCTATATGCCCAATCTGGAATATTGAATATTGAACTGAGCCACAGCCCACATGAACCAACAATATTCAAGGAGAAGCTGAATCGTTATACTCCTCTGCAATTAAAACATTTGTCTTGAAATAATCCACACACAGGCGTGTACTTTCTGCTTTTTCTTCTCTTTCGCTTGAATTCTTATTCTTAATCATAATTCACTTGGCAAATCCTGAACAAACATTGTATTAGTGCGAGTAACATTGATATCACCGAGTCTTTGCCCTCTTTATCTTTTTCAACACGTTCAAACCTCAAACTAGATCTCATGTGATAAAGTATTAGTTGCCTCAAATTTCTTCTTGAGTTGGACATATAATCAAGACGAGGTTAATGATTGAGCCTGTTCCTTAGTCATTGATGAACGATGGTGACGGAATATGGATTGCACCCATCATCATCGTCGTCGTCATACATTGAACAAGGAACACCACACCGACAGTTAAGCATTTCCTCAAGCGGGGTGTAGCCAACATGTTGTAGCCCCTATCATGCTTAGCGCGCCACAAAATCTTCTCTCTGCACTCTTTATATATATGTTCATTCCGGTTTTATTAATGAGCAAAATGAAACAATCTGGAGAGCCCTAGGCAAATCTTTTGAGCAATTGGCATGCAAATGATCAAATGATTCAATCATATAAATAGCACCATAGCTGCTCAGGGTAACATGAAGATGGCACAATGCGAAACTCAAGAGAAAGGTTCTCTAGAAAAGATGAAATGCCTACGCCTAGCTAGCATTTTAATTGGTAAATTGTTTGAGTTGGTGGAGCAGATGAAGTCATGGACAACTTCGCCCCAGCAATGGATGTATACGTTGTAGCACTACAATATAAAGTAACAATTAATTAACAAAAAAAATGAAAAAAAAAAAGAAACAAAGGGAATGGTAGGTAAGGTGGGTGCAAAGTTCATTCAGAAGAGGTTGGGTGATGGTATTGTAGATTGTAGTGTGATAGCTGTGGAAGCGTGAGAACATGAACAAAACGGCATTAGAGAGAGAGAATTAGAGCAAACCCACGCTACGTGCTACAGTTGAGAGATGAGAGCAAGGGAATAGCGATAGAAAGAGATTGGTGGAGGATCAAACATGCGCACTAAAGCGAAAGGGCACAAAAGCTTCAACACAACTTTGAATATTTTGACTCTAAAACAAAACGAAACAAAGCAAAACAAAAACAAACTCTTCTCCTCTTTGTGGGCCCATTTCCGCCATAGCCAAGAACTAGCCCCCACCTCAACATTCATCCCATCATTGCCATCAAGAATTCTCTCTCTTTCATTACCGTTTTCGCAATTTGCTGTCCTCACAATTTCCCACAAGCAACATCTCTCTGTCTTCATGATAACAGAGTCTTCTTTTCCTTTAGCTGATTCTGGTTTTGTTTCTTCTTTTTACTACTAAAGATTAAAGATACGTTCAAATGACTCTGGTTTTGATGATGGGTTGTTTCTGAAGGAAGTTGGTTTTTCTTTGGCTTCTTGCTGCTTTACGCTATAATGGGGAATTGCTTGTGTAGGTGGGAGCCTTCCATTTACAGAGTCTCATCTAATGCTAAGTCAGGTTTGTTTGATTTATTTTTTTCATTCATTAAATTTATGTAATTGCTTTTCTTCCTTAAAAACAAAATCGTAGAATGCAAGTTTTTATTTTCTTCCATCACTATTTTTCGAATTGAAATTTGTAAAATTGCAGTTGAAACTTAATTCAAGTAGCAACTACTCTGTTTTCCTCTGTTTTTGCCTCTGCTTCATTGACTTCTTTTTTACATCTGATTTATGTGTTATCTTCTTCTTTTCTTATTGGATTCAGTTCCTACCATGAATCTTAGATATGTCAAATATGCTTCTTTTCCATAATGTTTCTTTCATTATTTACGTTCCTAGATTCGTTGAATCAATTTTGTGGAATTTCTCTGTCCTCTCTCTCTCTCTCTCTGTCGCTCTTGGTCATATATAGAATGCCTTTCATACAGATTTATGTTCTTGATGTTGACAATCTTCTGCAAGTAGAATTAGAAAAGAAAGAGCAAAATGTATTTCTGTTTAACTCTTCCTTATTCCCACTACAAAGAGTAGTGGGTTTTTATTTTTCCTTTTACAAAAGGAAGCCTGTCACTGTAGTGCCCTGATTCTTATCTCAATAATATTATATAATATTGCTAGTAAACTTTGACAACTATTTTTTAAATATAAAAAGGCATTTCTGGAAGTAATAATTTCCTCCTTCAAAATCAGCATTTCTTTTCTGCTTTTTCTTCTCATCTTGTGCTGATGAAATCTCCCAAAACTTGAATTATGTCTAATACTCAGAAATCTTAATTGAATATTGATGTTGGGCAGCTTATTGTATGATCACAAATGTAAATTAAAATAGAAATGAAAAGAGAAGGAGAGTGAAGGAGGTGCTTTGCCTCAACTAATTCAGACAAGTCTAAGGAAATCCTTTTCCTGGCCTTTGCATATCAGGTTTGAGGCACTAACAATTTTGGTTGTTAAAAGGTCTGCAAATTGAATGCTTTAATCATCTTCTCCTTCAACAACAGAAAAACGATTTGATCTTTTCAGGATTTGAGTATTACATAAATGACGCCATTTGCGCTTATATATGCATATATGTATATATATTCCTTTTGCAGAGTCTCCAAAAGACCACAGTCCCTCAGAGAAACAAAGGAGGGACGATAGTAAGTTGCCCTCCAATCCCAAAGAAGTAGAAGACCTACGTCGTGATTCTGCTGCGAATCCGTTGATTGCATTCACATTCGAAGAGTTGAAGATCATCACTGGAAATTTCAGGCAGGACGGTGTGTTGGGTGGAGGAGGTTTCGGATGTGTTTATAAAGGGTTGATTTCTGAGGACTTGAGGGAGGGGCTTCAGCCCCTTGCTGTTGCTGTAAAGGTGCATGATGGTGATAACAGTTATCAAGGACACAGAGAATGGCTGGTAGTCTTTCGTTCTCTTTTTGTTTTTTAATTTTTGGTTTTCCTTTTAACCTCTTCTGCTGCATGAACCTTTGAGTTTCCTACGAATTTGATGAGTAGCTTTGTGGACTATTAGGCAGAGGTCATATTTCTGGGTCAGCTTTCTCATCCAAATTTGGTGAAACTTATTGGCTACTGCTGCGAAGATGACCATCGGGTGCTGATATACGAGTATATGGCTCGTGGCAGTGTGGAAAACAATCTTTTCTCAAGTAAGTAGATTTCATCACTAAATCAATGACATGCCAATGTAGAAACCTTGAAAATACCTTGGACGATATACATTTGGTGGCAAACCAAGAAAAGAACACCATTTGCTTTGGCTAACACAAGTCCTGTTTCATTCGTCTTCCAATCAATGGGAACTCCGATTCCCAACAACCAAAGGAATACGTTCATCATCATTCTTAGCCAGATCACATGTATATAGAACGGAGAAGTTAGTACCTAAGACAGCAATTGAAAAGCTACTAGGATGGTTTCTAGTCCTCTAGACGAGATACTTAAAGAAAGCTTCTTTTATATAATATGCTAAAATACTACAGTAGCTTGTTTCAGTTGGAAATCATTCCCGGTATACTAGCCTCAAAGGTTACCATATGGTCTTAGGAGGATTTATCTACTTTCTCTATAGCATAAGCTATTTTCATGTAATGTACTAACCTATCCAGGGTATCATGGTAGGCATAGCATGCCTGCAGTTTTCTTTACCATTTGTTATACGTAACTAGCGAAAAAATCCTTTGTTACAGGAGTATTGCTTCCTCTTCCTTGGTCTACTAGAATGAAGATTGCTTTTGGTGCTGCAAAAGGACTTGCCTTTCTCCATGAAGCAGAGAAGCCCGTCATCTACCGGGATTTTAAGACATCTAATATTCTACTGGACCTGGTTAGCACTTGGTTTACTCAAACTTGTTGTGCTCTTTTCTTCTAAAGTAACTATAATTAGGAGTTAGAACTCTGATTATATTGGGCAAGGCCAGGACCTTGTTTCGGCATGGATCAATATAATAGTGATGTCCTTGGTATTTTGTGAAGATAGAAAGAGGAAAATAAGATATTTTCTTTGGTATTTACAGAAAACAAACTTAAAGATTTGCACACTAAATTCTCAAGAATACCAAAGTTTGATACAATAAAAAAAATAAAAAAAGAAAACAAAGCCTAGAAAATACTTGAAATTTTCCCTTAATTCATTTCACCTTAAGACAAGTATATAAAGGGGAGGTAGTGTCAAAGAACTTGCCTGCTTCCACAAAGTTTGCTAACTGCTTCTACTTTTTTTATTATCTAAACACTGAAAATATCACAACAAAAAAATCAGATATATCAAAAATCACAAGCTAACCTATGCTACAAAAACTGGAGTTAAACTAGAAAATTTGTCAAAGTAGACTGCACCAATCTTATAAGCTACATTTATTCATCAATCTTAATTTAATACAACAAAAACCACTCAAGTTTAACTTGAACTAGACAAGGAGAAATTCTACAACTGTGACGTCGGAATTAATCAAACATGTAATTTGCAACAAACAAACCAGCTCTTGAAGCTAATAAACTATCTTACAGTGGCTAATGATGATCTGCGTAGGCAAAGTGCAGCATAGCCAGTCATAATTCAGCAATCCTCCTTGGCTGCTTTGCTGCACACTCTAATTTTCTTTCTTAGCATCATAGATATGTCCTCAGGTAGTTACTTGGTCAAGATATCAGCAAGTTGGTCTTCAGAACTACACTGGACTATATTGACTTCCTTTTCTTGTTGTGCTTCCCTAACAAAATGATACTTGATCTTCAAGTGCTTTGTTCTTCCATGGAACGTAGGATTTTTGGCTATTGTAAAATCTGATTGATTATCAACTTTGATTTCTGTGGCGTCCTCTTGTGCAAAATTTAGATCATTCGTCAATTTTCTAAGACAAATTGCTAGATTTACGGCCATAGCTATAGCTGTATATTCTGGCTCTACTATTGACTCTGCTGTCGTGTCTTTCTTCTTTGAGTTCCATGCAAAGACACTTGAACCAATGGTTCATATCATCAACAGTAAAGCCCTTTGAACAATTTTTCTTAACTACCTTTGAACAGTAAAGCCCTTATGTTGCTCCACAAAAATCTCATCTTGAAGATTTCCATTTAAAAAATAAAACTTGATGTCCAACTGGTGTATCCACCATGGTTTTGTGCCCGATGGCCATTAACAACCTAGTTGTGTCAAGTCTTGCAACTAGTACAAAGGTTTCTAAGTAATCCATCCCATATTGTTGTGCATACCTATTAAAAACCATTCTTTCCATCATTTTGTTACAGAACCAGCAGCATTCAGTTTGATTTTTAACACACACTTTACACCAATCCCTTTCTTATGGCTTAATTTGTCCACAAGCTTCCATTTCTTAATTTTCTCAATCATCTGAAAATCATATAGTATTAGCTTTCTCCAAACAACAGATTTGTAGCTTCTTAAAAGATGTCAGGCTCTAGAATAGCCACATTGCATCTCTCATACACATACATCATCAATTGCATCCTCATCCGACATTTCTTCTTCCATCAAAATCCCCTTTGTTTATCTTAGACTTCTTCAATCGGTGATTTTTCCCAATTCCAGGTCGCCCCTTCATCAAATCTCAAATCTCTACAAACTATCACCTTCTCGTAGAGAGGGTTGTAAATGATGTACCCTTTGGCAATGCTACTGAAGCCAATAAAGATGCCTGTAACCACCTTTTTCTCTAGCTTATCCCTCTTGACATCTGAAATGTGAGTATAACAAATGCACCCAATTACTTTCAAGTGTTGCACTTGATGTTTGCACCCAAAAGTATGCTTCAAAAGGAGTCAAGTCCTTCAATGCTTTTGTAGGAAGTCTATGCAGGTAGACTGCTACGTTGACAACTTCTGCCCATAGCTTCTTTGGTAACCCTTTCTCAAACAATAGGCATCTTGTCGTTGCCATTATTCTCTTGTTCTTTCTCACTTATCTTATTTTCGTTTTGGGTTTAGGCAATGGTAAATTGATGCTCATGTACTAGCTTCATTTCAAAATTCTTGAAATTTTGATGAAGTATATTTTGGCCCTTTGTTTGACCTTATTACTTTACCCTTTAGCCACTTTGATTTAATCCAAGCCTTGCAGTTCCAAAACACATCAGCTAATTTTCATTTCAGTTGAAGGAAGTAAACCCAACACATTCTGGTATAATCATCAATAAATATAAGGAAATACTTGTCACCGTTGCCAATTTTGATCCTTGAGTGTCAAATCTGTCAAGTTCCCGATATATTCTCTCATTTCAAAACATATGGTGTGCACAACCACTTATAGTCAACCAAGCATCACTCATTTTTCTTCTGGCTGTATAACATGTTGCAACAAACACATGCTCTTCATTTTGTTGATTGGTTTCTGCATTTAAGGCTTGTGTATTCTGCGGTAACCCTTTATTCTTGCTAACCTTCTCTATATGAATCATTTGTTTGCAAGACTTACATTGAATCTTAGGCCCATGCCAACACTACTTCTCCAAATGAATGGTTTTCTTACAATGTGAGCTTGGCGGGTACTTTCTTTTGCATCCATCTTTACGGCTTTCAACCTCTTTTCTCTACTTCTCCCTTCTGTTGCCTTGTTGTTCTCTACCCTTTACTCTTTAATGAGTCTTTTCTTTCTCCTTGGCTTGGAATGCACTCTCCATCACGGCCTCCTATCTATTAGCCCTTCTTTGCTCTTAAGCACAGAGAGCATTTATCAACTTTGAGAAAGAAATATTGGAGAGATCTCTTTAAGTTTTCGAGGGATAGGAAATCTTCGACTCATACTTCTGTGATAGGGTGGTGATTATCTGTCCACAATTCTCTCTCTTTTTTTTTTTTTTCTTTTTGTAAGTTCATTACCATGCAGCCTTATATTGTTCACAACGGGCATGATCTGGTATGAATATTGCTTGACAGTATCAGTGTCCTACATCTTGCGATTCTCAAATTCTCTCCTCAAGTTAATAAGCTGTTATTGCCTGTTCTTTTTTATGCCTTGAAACTCTTCATTGATCTTGTCCCAAGCTTGCTTGAGAGAGTCATAGGTTGTGATCCTTGTAAAAATCACATCAGGCACATCATTTTGAATTTAAGACAAGGCCTTATACTTCTTGGAACACTCCACACTATATAGCTTCAATTGAGCAAATGTTGGATTCTCCCTTAAAGATGGAGGTTCCTTCCCTATTTCTACAACTTCCCAAAAATCATAAGCTTGAAGATGACATAATTTGATGCATCCAATTTAATTTACTACACAAAAAAATCACTCATGTCAAAGCTGAACCAGTCAATGAGAAATTCTAGAAGCATAATTTGGGAATTTTATCAAATGTATAATTTGCCACACACAAACCACCTCTTAAAATATTAGAAAATGATGTAAGCAGTTAAAAGAGATGGATATGATACAATAAACTATTTTTTCAAAGAAAGAAAAAAAAAACACTAGAAATACAAGCCCAATAAATTTTTTGAACTCAAACCTTCAACTTGTACTCTTATTTAAAGAAAATATTAAAATTTGTCAAGTTAAAAGTAAAAGTGAAGATGAAATTCTTTAATTTTTTTTAACTAAGTTTAATGACGTCAATATAAGAAAAATACTAATTTTTTATTTATAATAAAAATAAGTTATTAATTTTCAAACGTTGGGTGTGGTAATGTGGCCCTAACACTGGAGAAGGCTTTATTTATAATTACTATGCGACCGAGGGTATTAATGAGCCATAGATATGATCTTAGTGCACAAGTCGCTGACAGATATGATGGCTGTCACTTCTTTAAAACTTTACTTTTGTCAAAGCCAAATGCTAAGAACCCTTCATCTAGTTTGTACTTTGAACGTGCTCTGAACACAAAGTTGGCAAGATGTTTAAACACTTTATGGGGTACCTCCCTCCGCTAGTACAAACAGCCATCTTATTTGAGTTAATCCATGCTCAGGGTGGAGCCTTATTGTTGAAGCCCGAAATGTATATATATAGCATGTTTTCCCGGCCCTAATTATCATGAGAATTTGTGGGTTAATGATGCAGAAGAAGCTGCTTGATTTTATAGCAAGAATTAAGTATGTCTATCACTTGTTTATGTGTTCAATAAACAGGAATACAACGCCAAGCTCTCTGATTTTGGCCTTGCCAAAGATGGGCCCGTAGGAGACAAATCCCATGTTTCCACTCGCATTATGGGAACATATGGATATGCAGCACCTGAATACATCATGACAGGTAAGTTTTTGGTAGCAGTCGTTTCGACATTCGACTATATTTATGCATTCAACTTTCTTAAGGATGGAAGTCAAATGACTTGAACTTGTTCCTAATCGATTTTAAATAATTAAAAATTACTCCTATACAAACAAGTAAAAGCAAATTAGGCTTCCCAATTGATATTATCCATTTAGTTTGTGTTGTGTTTTACTTCGTCGTCTCAGCACCTGATCTTGTGCAGGACATCTGACTCCTCGAAGTGATGTGTACAGCTTTGGTGTTGTTCTTCTTGAACTTCTCACAGGAAGGAAATCATTAGACAAGTCACGGCCAGCCCGTGAACAGAACCTCACTGATTGGGCTCTACCTCTCCTCAAAGAGAAGAAGAAATTGCTCAACGTAATAGATCCGAGATTACAAGGAGATTATCCCATCAGAGGGGTTCACAAAGCTGCCATGCTAGCCTATCATTGCCTGAACCGGAACCCGAAAGCAAGGCCTCTAATGCGAGATATAGTAGATTCCTTGGAGCCTCTGCAGGGTTCCGACGAAGTTCCAACGGACAAAACTGTCATAACTGTGATTACTGAGGTGCCAAAAGACGAGTTAAATAACAAGGGAGATTCACACTGTAATTGAACTTGACGCGTGCTTTTATTTCGTCAACTTTCTTCTCCAATTTGCAAGGGGAGTTTTTGCACTAGATGGCCTTCATGAGCAAATCTAAGATGTCTTCCTCCCCACCCAGTCTTTAATTTCCTCTTCTGGCTGAAACATGGTCATTGTAGTGGCTTGCAAGCTATTTGATTATTGTAAAGTTAACAGCCGATTTGTACCTGTATACCACAACCACAAATTTCTAGCCTCTTACAATTCCTCATAGAGAATACTAATATGGCGAAAATTAGATTGTATCTTTACTAACATCAGGTCGTCGGTTTTCTTCCAAGGGAAAGTTTTAGGAGTTTATATAGAGTACCGAATTGTATATTTGTTTAGCAGATTCTAGGGACAAAAAGAAAACCCACTTAATTTCCATAAAAACATTGCAGATTCAGTCTCTTCGGAAGCTGAATGAATCCTCCTTTAATTTCAAGTGGTTCAAGCCTGGAAGCTTCTATCAATTGGAAGAAATGAGCCCAAAAAGTAGAATCGGTCAGTTTTGGATCCAATACAGATTAGTTGGACAAAACATTTTAGTCTGATTTTTTTATAACTTGTGAAACAATTTCATGGCAGCTTCACGAAGCTCATTGCTATGCCCAAAATGTCAATGATATGATCTTGAAGAGCCCTATAAGTCCAGTTTCAACCCAATATTTTTTTTTCCCTTTTTCAGAATTCAAGCATTTGGAGAATGACGTTTGCAGAATTAGAGATTGACGGCAAAGGTAATTTATATATGAGGAAAAGTGGTGGAAGATATTCGTAGGCGCCATAGGCAAACCCAAGGCCGATACCTATATGATTTATGAGGCGGATTCCATAAGACTTTGGCCTCCAAAGAATACAATACAATAATTATTCACTAATACTAGCACTACAAAAAAATCCTACTAATTTCGACTGAAAATTTTGTCTAAAGAGTTAAATTTTTGCTAGAATTGATTTTTTTCAACGAATTTTCAATGAAAAATTCTATTGAAAACTCTGTTGCTAGTAAGGTTAACGTTATTGCTTGTTGTTAGAAGTCCGTTAAAATTTTTTGACAAAAAATTTCCGTTAGAAAAAACTACAAATTTTTGTTAAAAAAAGTTATCATATTTTTTATTATTTTAATATTAATCTGTTGGAAAAGATGAAAATTTGCATCAGTAAATTTGTTCTAACCGAAATTCGTCAAAAATGACCAAATGAAATTTTCTATTAGTGAATTATTACAAACAAATTTCTGTTGAAAATTACAAGTGAAATTTTTTTTGGTAATTTAGTCATGATCTATGGATTTCCGTTGGAAATTGTCAACAAATTTTTGTCAGTAATTTTGTTATTACCTTCATAATTTTTCGTTGAAAATTACCAACGGAGTTCCTTCCATAATTTAGTCATTACCTGCAAATTTCTATTAGAAATTGCCAATGGAAGATATCCATTAAAAATTACCATCAGAATTCCATTAGTAATTTAGTCATTACCTGTGGATTTATGTTAGAAATTAACAACAGAACTCCATCAATAATTTAGTTATTATAATGAATTTTTGTTGGAAATTACCAACAAAAGTTTGTTGGTAATTTAATAATTGCTTATGAAATATCATCTGTAATTCAATCATTACCAACAAAATTCCATTAGTCATTATATTTAATCTACGCAACCTACAATTAACATCTAGTATTCATAACAAAAATATGCATTAAAATATGAAATTCAAAGTCAAGTTGATGCAATGAAAAATCATCATAAACAGAAAATATCTAAACATAAAGTTTTTTTCAAAGATCTAAACATAAAGTTAAATGTGCTTTTTTATACATATTAAAAAAGTATTTAAGTTCAAATGTAAAAAAGAGACATCATAAATTTCACAATTTTACTCTTCAAAATCTGAACAAGAAGTAGATGCATGTTCTTATTTGGTAAACGCATTACTCACAATCATTGCTTCTATACGTGTCATAAACTCATTCATACATTTTGCCATTACGTCTTTCATTTTTGCCATCATATTAACATTATTCTCCTTAATTTTATCATGTATATCCTCACGTATCTTACCCAAATCTTGTGATAGATTTTTCACTTTTTCTTCCAACCCAGTTGCGGTATCAATAGCATTTAAGATGCTAGTACCACATGTTAACTCAGATGTTGTTGCATTGTCGTGTGTTGAATTAAGTACAATTGTAACAAGCACACAAGTACCAAACCCAAACATGTGAGTGCGTGTAGTCTCCATCACTCCAATTGCTTCAGACCAAGCTTGTAGATCATATTCTAACTAAGAAGATGAATCTTCACTATACTTATAGAATAATGTACAAGTATACTTTTCTTACAAGGTAAAAAATAAAGAGGTTAGTATTTAATTATATTGTTAACTTTAAAGTAAAAATTAATCAATTTATTTACGTACATTAATAGATTTAGACTTGTTGTCTATGAAATCACCATGACCTAATAAATGTTTGTGTGTGCGATTGAATACTTTCAAAAAACTAACATTTCAATCCATCTTGATTGTTTACATTCATTTACAACTATACTCAATCATAATGCATATTACATAACATCTTAAAAATATAATTTGTATTTGAATTAGTAATATTTAAATTTTTCAAAATTAATATGCTTACCTTTGAAACTCAAAATTTTTGCAAAACTTGTTTTATTGTCAAATTGTTTCTAGACTCAATATAAATTTCCATAACTGCAATTTGATTGGTATTGGCATTAATGAAGAAGTTTAGGTGAATTGGGTTGCTCAGGTTCACTGTAAGATCGAAACTAAGCTTATTACATATTTAGGTCTCTCACAAAATTCTCAAAATAACTCACTTAAAATCTAGAGGCCTCTGCTTGAACAAGTTGAATTGAAACTGAAAGAGTGGAAAACCAAATTGTTCTCACGTGGTGGTAGGGTTACATATTAAGGTCAGTTGTTAACAATTTGTCAATCTCTTTTATGTCTTTATTTAAGATGCCTCAAAGTATTAGGAATCAACTAAATAAAATTCAAATAAGGTTCTATCGGGTCGTTGATGGTGATAAACATGGTGCACATTATGTTAAATAGGATACTATTTGTAATCCAAAGGATAATGGAGGTATGAGAATTTTTGATTTGGAAGTTAGAAACAGAGCTTTTTTGACCAAGTGGGTATAACAATATGAGAACAAAACAAATAGTTTACGGAAAACAATTGTGGTAGCTAAGAATGACTATGATCCTTGTGCCCTTTTACCCAACCTTGTTGTTACCCGTAAATGCCCAAACACATGGCAAATATTATTTCTCCTCTAATGCCTACTAATAAATTTTTCTTGCAGGTAATAGCTAATTTAAGATTTGTTGTAAGTGATGGGAAATTTATTTCATTCTAGCATGATCCATAGATAGAAAATGTGACGTTGCAAAATGAATTTCTAAGGATATATGCATTGGTGGTACATAAGGATGGGAAGCTTTGTGATTATGGAAGTTAGACTAATGATGGACGGCAGTGGTAGATTAAACTTCGAAGACAGCTTTTTGGAAGGGAGTTTCCACAATGGACAAGGATGTGGAGTATTATCAGAGAATTTACAATTGGAAATAATTTTAAAGATAATATTATTTGGAAGTTTACACCAAGTGGTACGTTCACACGTAAATCCTTTTGCCATCTTGCTTGTAACCAATATTATGCAAATAAAGAATTATGGGAGAAAATCTGGATAAGGTATGCTACATATAAAGTTGAGGTGTTCGTTTGGCAATTAATGTAGCAAACAGTGGCTATCAAATCCAAATTGGTTAGGTGGAAATTAATTGATGACAACCAAGTGAATTGTGTTCCTTGTAAAGCTGAACCTGAAATTGTTTCTCATCTATTTTTGACATGCAAAATAGCATGGAGAATATGGAGTCTATGGTGCTAAGAATGGGAGATTCAATGGATTACACATAAAAGTCCAAATCATTTCTTTTTGACATGGAGATCCCTATGTACATCTGAGGATAATCATGAGGTATGGATATTATCTTTTTATGCTATTGTTTGGACAATTTGGCTTTTCCGTAATGAGATCTTATTTAATAGGAAATCATAGGATAATAGCAAGTTTAAGATCTCATTAAACTGCGAGTGGCCACTTAGTCTAAAGCAAAATGGTCAAACATAGCTCAGAAGATTGATAATATGGTTCTAATACCTCATAGACTAATGATTATTAACTCCATGTATTTTTTATGATAACAAAACATTCTTTATTCATTAATGTCTAACTACATTACTTACATGTGCAAGATAACGTTTAATTCTCAAAATAAATTTGATGTTTAAAAGCAAGTCAAGAAGCTTGCTCATTTAGAAGATGAGTTAATGAGTTAAAGAAGCAAAGAAGAAAAAACTTAGTGAAAATAGAATGTTCTTAATTGAATAACATGAAGCCTTAATTAGTTAAGGCAAACTAGGCATTGCACATAAGTAATAGAAAAGGTTTTATTAGTTAGCACAAGGTTTAACTGATTAAGGAAGTATTAAATACAAAACAGAAAGTTGTTAATCGGTTAACCAAAAGGGTTAATTAGTTAAAAGCCAAGTTTAAAGTACCTATAAGCACCAAAATTCAAATTCAAAGTTATGCTGACCATGCAAAGGTGCTAAACAAAGATATGCAAATTTGAATATTTCTTAATTAGTTGAAGTTTATTTTAATCAGTCAAGGATGAAAAGAGAGAAGCTTTAATTAGTTAAAGGGTGCAGTAATCAGTTGAAAAAAGGTTGGCCAAAAATAGTGCTTAAAAGTGTTTCAAAATAGAAAGTTCATAATCGGTTAAAGTTTCCTTTAACTAAAAGTGCCAGACAATGCAGGGCAGAAAGGGCTTAATCGATTAAAGCTCACCCTTAACTGATTAAAAGCTCACTGTTAGCACATTTGAATTTAAATTCTTGAAGACAAAATAACAGTTAGAACAAGGCTAGAATTTGCCTCCAGTAGCTAGAAGTTGTCTCTAAAGTAAAAAAAAGCCTCTCCAACGATCACAAAGAATTTAGAGAAGTTCCAAAGAGTTTGAAAGAGCCAAAAAGAGCAAAAATCTTCTCTTATACACTTGTATTCCACTCATATCCTTTGTAAAGTGTTTGAGCTTGAATTTATAAATCTTAAATCAGCTAGGTGATCAATTGTGCTCATTTTTTTTTCATTTCTTGATTGAACTACTCATATTGGAGCACTTGAATATCAATTTACATTAGAGCTGTGGATTTTGAAATATAGGATGTAATCACCCAAAGTCCTTACACTTCCACTAGTGTGAACCTTATCTTTTGTGAGAAAACGTCCAAAGCTAGAGAATAGTGGATTGAGGTAGAAAGAAGAAAACTCCAAATTAATTTCAAGGCCATTAACACTCTTCATTGTGCCTTAACTTTTGTAAAGTTTAACAAAATTTCTAGTTGTACCATAACCAAAGAAATTTTAGAAAAACTTAAGATCATTCGTGAAAAGACTTCTCAAGTTAAGGAGTCCAAAATTGCCCTTCTCATCTGTAATCATGAAATATTCAAAATAAAACCAAGTGAAGATATTACCACTATGTTCAATAGGTTCACCAACATTATAAACAAGCTTAATCAATATGGCAAACCCATCGCAGAACATGAATTATTGAAGAAATTTCTTAAAAGCTTACTTGAGAGCTAGAAACCAAAAGTGACTCCTATCCTAGAAGTACAAGATCTCAATGCAATTACCCTTGATGAGATTTATGGCTTACTTCTCAAACATGAGCTAGAAATGAAAAAAAGAAAAAAAAAGATGAGAGGAAAGAAGTTAAAGAAACAAAAGGTTTAGCATTGAAGGTAAGCTCACTTGAAGAAAATTGAAAAATCTCGCAAGTGATGAGGATGAAGAATTGGCCATGATAGCTAGAAGATTCAAGAAAATCATAGGGCAAAGAGACAAAAGATTTGGAAGATGAAATCAAAGAAAGGATCGAGGTTTTTCATTGAAAAGTAAATACAAAAATAACTACTACAAAAAGGATACGGTGGTATGCTTTGAATGTAAAAAACCTAGCCACTTCAAATTCAAATGCCTATTGCTCAAGGAGGGATCATTAAAAAAGGTCAAAAAGCCAAAAAAGACAATGGTAACTACTGCATGGTCGGATAGTGATTCCTCTAGTTCGGAGGATGAAAAAGACAAGGTAAAAGAAAGAGTAAACTTCTGCTTGATGCAAAAAGATGAAAACCCTAAGGTAACATCTAACTTGTGTGATGTTTCATATAATGATCAAGATGAGTTAACTTTTTGGAAGTGTTCAACCGCACTCATAAGCATTTAGCGAGTCAAGATAATTTTCTAAATAACAACTCCAAATCTACGAGTGTATGTACTAAATTGATAAATTTTTACTTCAAAGTTGATGATATAATTAAATACTAATCTTATTTAATTTTTTATGTAAGAAATGTATAATTCTGTATATCGTAGAAATATGGTAAAGATTCATCTTCTTAAATTCGATCCGCATGCTTAGACTGAAGCAATTAGAGGGATGAAGGCTACACGCACTCTCATGTATGGGTTTGGTACTCGAGTGCCTGTTACAGCTCTACTAAGTGGAACACAATATAATGTAGCAACATCTGAGTCTGCATGTGGCCTGTTAACTCAAACGCTACTAGTCCCATAATTGCATTAGAAGAAAAAGTAAAAAATCTATCAAAAAATTTAGGTAAGATACGTGAGGGAATACGTGAAGAAATTAAGAATGCAATGGCAAAAAGCATGAATGAATTTATGGCATGTATGGAAACCATGACCATGACTAATGCGCTTTCAAAACAAGAAAGTGCGGGTCCTTCAAGATCAAAACTTGGCAAGTAAGAACACAACATTTCATGATATGATGTTTCTTTTTCATTGCTAGACTTGGATACTTTTTAGTATAGGTATTTAATAACACATTTAGCTTTATATTCATATTTGATTGACATTTTTAGATATTGTGTGTTTATGATAATTTTTAATTGTATGAACTTGACTTTGAATTTTAGTTTTTAATGTGTGTTTCTATTATATATTTTGAAACTCAATTGTGGATGTCAATTGATAATTTATTATCGAAATTTTAATTGGTAATTTTTGTTGGAAAAGCATTACTAACAAGACATGCAATTGAAAATTAGTAAAACAATTTCTGTTGAAAATGATTTTTCAACGAAAAATTATGTTGGAAATTTTTAACAAAATTCAGTTGGAAATGCTTTTTGAATAAAAAAGTCCGTTGGAAAAGCATTTTGAACAAAATTTCTGTTTGAAATATCTAACGGAATTTCATTGAAAATTCATTTCCTACAGAATTATTTCTAACAGAATTTTGCATGGGAAATGCTTTTCCAATGAATTTCCAACGGAACTTCTGTTGGAAATGCTTTTCAAATGGAAATTCTGTTGGAAATTTCCAACGAAATTACTATTGGATAGCCAATAGATCATGCATTTTTTCTAACGAAAGTTTTCAACGGAAAGTATTACTAACAAGGCTTTTATCGAAAGAATTTTTAATGGATTTTTTCGTTAGAAATTCGTCAGAAAAAGGTATTTCCAATGGAATTTTAACTTTTTATAACAAAAAATTTTATCGGAAAGAGCTTATTTTTTGATAGTGAACCCTTATTGATTCATATGGTCAATTGGTGTGATTACATATAGTTGCGATACCACTATTGGCAACACATTAGGTTTTGGCTCTACCTACTCCAATGCCATTAATTTGCAAGATCACATATGTTTCATGAACCTCCAAAGACTTCTTGCCTATGAAACATCTATTAAAATTGTTTATGAATTTTCAGATTTCAAGCCCTAGGGTTTTTGATAAACATACGAAAATTAAGTAAATGGGTTAAAGAGAGAGAAATTTTACGAATATATTTGAGAAAATCCCTTTAAGTTGATATTTACTAGTGTATGTGTGCCTATTTTATATAGCAAAAATTTTAGTGTCATTTGCACTATTAAATTTCAGACCATTTGACTTTGACCTACACTCAAACAAAACCCTGGGAAGACCTCGGCCGCAAGAGAAGAGGAATTAAGGATGGAACAGTAAATGGGCTTCAAAAGTTGGGTTTCGGCCATGGCCCATCTAATAGGATTATGCACACGTGCGGTAAATGGGACACGAACGGATCTAGAAAGTTGTAAAAGAAAATGAAACGTTGCAAGTGTTCTAGAGAGTTCCAAAAGCAGAACAATCGGACAAATGAAAACATAACAAGAGATCCTACGGTCCAGATTAAGTGGAACCTTCAGGACCTTAAACAGAAATGGTATTTTTGGTACTAATATTTATTTATTTTAGAATAATATTAATAAGTAGGACTATCATTGGAGCAAAGGACGCAGCAAACTTTAAAGTTTTAACCTACCATATTCCAAACCGAGACTCAGGTAGCAGCAGCGCCCTGACAGCCAGCCATTCTTATCCAAAACCCTTGTAAACCCTAATCGTACTCATTTCCCATTCTTTCGGTAAAGCTCTCTCTTTCCACTTCTACTACTCTTGCTTCATCTCAAGCTTTTCTTTTGGGACCTGTAGGGATTTCTGTCCGTTTCTTTGTGTGTGTGTGTGTGTGTGTGTTTTCCTTCTTTTTCTTGTTTTTGTTATGCGATTGAAGAAGTCATATTGTGAAAGATTTTTAACTGTGTTCGGATAAATGGGTTCCTTCATAGATGCACTTGCTAAGTGAAAGGCTAAAGCTTGGATGGTTATGAAGTTTCTTGTTGCAGAGGCTGGTGTCCCTTTTTGTTAGCTTAGCTGTAATTGACATAGTTGGTGCTGCATTACATTGTGTCGGACGCAGCAATCGTTCAATTGCAGTGTGAATGTTTGTTGTTGAAAGATGGGGCTATGTTCTTTAATGAATGGTGGTAGTAATTAGTAAAAGATTGTTGGGAGATGGAGCTATGTTCTTTAATTTACAACAATAAAATGGTGGTAGTAATTAGTAAAAGGCTGTTCATATATGGAGCTATGTTCTTTATCGTTCAAGAAGGTTGTTGATGGATGGAGCTTTTGTTCAGAATACATTCGATGTTGTAAATATCAGTGTTCCTTTCTCGATGTTGTAAATATCAGTGTTCCTTTCTCTGAGCTAGCTGTTATATTAGGAATCAGTACCATGTTATTCGGTGTGTGAATCTTTTGTCTCTTGAAAATGCAGGTCATTTACATTGTCATTTGATTCTTAGAACTCTTTGTTAATTGATTCATTAATTTACATTTGAGGTAGCTTTCATTGTATGACCATGATGTTGAATATTTTCAGCTTAAAGGAGTAGATGGCCTCCACTTTCACAGCCATGTCTTCAGTTGGTTCATTTGTTGCTCCTAATGGTCGTGCCATGGATAAGAAACTTGCGTCTTCTTCGAACAGATTGTCATCTTTTGCTTCCATTTCTTCAACTGCTTTTGGTATGAGACAGAATGTTGTTCTTAGGAGAACACGCCTGCCCAAGATTTCTGCGGCAAAAGAGCTACATTTCAACAAGGATGGCTCAGCTATAAAGAAATTGCAAGTGAGTTTTTGTTTCCAATGATGAGTGTCTGGCTAGTGTTCAATCAGAATCAGAGCCTTTGTAGGTTTGCTCAATCTTACTTTCTGTTCTTTTGTTGTAGACCGGTGTAAACAAACTTGCTGATCTGGTTGGGGTCACTCTTGGACCAAAAGGCAGGAATGTTGTCCTAGAAAGCAAATATGGCTCCCCGAAAATTGTTAATGATGGTGTGACAGTGGCCAAGGAGGTATGCCCTTGCTCTTGAACAGCAATTGAAGTTGAAATTAGAATTGGTTGTGCGATGCTTGTTCACTTCTAGCTTCAGACACGTGGTTATGTATTTCACCTGGAATGTTTAGTTTTTTGTGTCAGAACATCTAGATCCGTTTCATTTCCAATTTTTATAGGAGAATCTAGTGTCATCCTTATTTTGTAATTTATGTTAATGCTGGGTGTGGTTTAGGCAATCCAACTTTCTGAAGTATACAGCTGCATCAATTTCCAGAAGACCTTCCATAATCTATATCTTTAGCTCTCATTGTCTTTGTTATAATTCTGTAACTGCTAGTTCGAAATATCAAATAGAAACCCTTATTTTCCTTATAGCTTATCAATTATTAATTGAATGTTTTGCCTGTATTAATTTCAAGGTTGAGTTGGAGGATCCAGTTGAGAACATTGGTGCTAAGTTAGTAAGACAGGCAGCTGCTAAGACAAATGACTTGGCTGGTGATGGAACGACAACATCAGTTGTTCTCGCACAAGGTCTGATTGCTGAAGGTGTCAAGGTTTGTGAATTTATCTTCATAACATTATGTTTGGGTATATGGAAAGCAGGGTAATTTTAGTCATAGTCATGCTATTTGTTGTAATTGCTAAGTACAAATTATTATTCAGGTCGTGGCAGCTGGTGCAAACCCTGTCTTAATCACCAGGGGCATCGAGAAGACCACAAAAGCTTTAGTATCTGAGCTTAAGGCTATCTCAAAAGAGGTAATTTTAATGGTCATTGAGTTTTATTTTGTTGTCTGGATTTTACTATTGAAGGGACTGTAATGAATCTGCCATGGGACTGCAGGTTGAAGACAGTGAACTTGCAGATGTGGCAGCTGTTAGTGCTGGGAACAATTATGAAGTAGGGAATATGATTGCTGAGGCCATGAGTAAAGTGGGTCGAAAGGGTGTGGTTACCCTTGAGGAGGGAAAAAGTGCTGAAAATAGTCTCTATGTTGTTGAAGGAATGCAATTTGATCGGGGTTATATTTCACCTTATTTTGTTACCGATGGTGAGAAAATGGCAGTAGAATATGAGAACTGCAAGGTACATGTCCTACTCGTGGCCAAAGTTTTCATTCTGATAAAAAACCCTTTCCTACATTGAATGTTGACAATTGTGTTTTGTATTCTGGTTGCAGTTGCTACTTGTTGATAAGAAAATAACAAATGCAAGAGATCTTGTCAACATCCTAGAAGATGCTATTAGAAGTGGATACTCAATTTTGATAATTGCTGAAGATATTGAACAGGAAGCTTTAGCAACTCTGGTTGTGAACAAGCTTAGAGGGGCTCTGAAGATTGCTGCTCTCAAAGCTCCTGGCTTTGGAGAGCGCAAGAGCCAGTACCTTGATGACATTGCTATTCTTACTGGTGGTAAGCAGAAGCCTTTGTTTTTTATTTGCTACTGTTTAAATAGTATTTTTAGTTGTCTTTGATTTTCCTGTGCAATGTGCGTCGGTCCTCAATCTCTCTCTCTCTCAAGCATGCGCACATGCATGTATACTCGCATTTATGCACAGCACAAGCACCCCATGTGCACTCACACATCTGAGTCCAATTTATGAGATATCTCTCTACCATTTGCGAACAGGTACTGTTATCAGAGATGAGGTCGGGCTTTCCTTGGACAAAGCTGGCAACGAGGTCCTCGGCCATGCTTCTAAGGTAGTGCTTACCAAGGATACAACAACCATTGTGGGTGATGGAAGCACCCAGGAAGTTGTAAACAAACGAGTTGCGCAGATTAGGAATCTTATTGAGGTTATCTTTTACTGGATGCTTATATTTATATAGTTTATACAAGTCTTTCTTTTGGACTTCTTGCAATGCTTATGACGTTATTACTTTACTGCAGGTTGCAGAGCAAGACTATGAGAAGGAAAAACTTAATGAAAGGATTGCTAAATTGTCTGGTGGTGTAGCAGTGATACAGGTAACTATTAGTTGGTTGAAGGAACATGCTATACAGTTTATCTAAAATGAAATTTGATGTGATATCATATGTAATCTAAAATTTTGGTGTTCTTTTGATATTTTAAAGGTTGGAGCTCAAACTGAAACAGAGCTTAAAGAAAAGAAATTGAGAGTGGAAGATGCTCTTAATGCAACGAAGGTAATGCACTCATACGTTGCCATGATGGTCTTATGTTGTAATTATTGTCCTTCAAAATCATTAAGCGTGCTTGATTTCATTGATTTTCAGGCAGCAGTTGAGGAAGGTATCGTTGTTGGTGGTGGATGTGCTTTGCTAAGACTTGCTTCTAAGGTGGATTCTATCAAAGGTTCCCTTGATAATGATGAAGAACAGGTAAGCCTTGTTTTGACAAATTAAAAGAGGCTTAAAATATTTATTAGATTTCAGAATGTTTTCAACCAGATATTCAGCTGTTTAAAAAGTGCCTTTCTCACATAAATATCTTGATGGAGAACAGGTTGGAGCAGATATTGTCAAAAAAGCCTTGAGTTACCCTCTAAAACTGATTGCTAAGAATGCTGGTGTTAATGGAAGTGTAGTGAGCGAGAAGGTATGAGATACGATTGTTTCAAGTTTCAGTGAGCATTCCGCATCCAGTATGTGTGTTGCTTTCTAACTGCAGTCTTTTTTCCTTTTATTTATTTATTTGCAGGTGCTCTCCAGTGATAACCCTAAGTATGGGTACAATGCTGCCACTGGAAAATATGAGGATCTTATGGCTGCAGGAATTATCGATCCAACCAAGGTTAGTTCCTTGTTTAGCTCCACATCTGTTTTTTTTTTCTATTTACTCCCCCCATTTAAAATTGAATGTTCACCTTTCAAATAGTATAAAGTTGCAAGGAAATGTGATATTGTCTCAATTCCCTACTTTAGAACTTTTAACGTATAAATGTAATAAAAGCTTGTGGGACTCACCTAAAGTTAGTATTTATGGTTAGGATTTTAATAAATGACCATATTGAAAGAAGTACACATTGTTTCGAAACATCTTAAGAAAATAAGATGGACATTTGCTTTGAAATGGAGAGATTATATTTTCCTCTTCCAAATCTGCAAAGTAGCTTCGAACTTGAAGAAATGATAAAATTATGTTTTTATTCTCTAGAAGAATTTATGATACGACCTTCCCTAATTAAAATTTGTGCAACCTTGTGTCATGTTTTAATGTTAATAGGAAGAGCTAGTAGAACTTGATCCGATTTGCGAAGCCTTTCTAACTTTTTGCTTGAAATTGTCTTGACCCAATCTCATATGACTCTTAAAAGTCTACAATCCTGACACAAAAAGACTTGAATAGAAATTAACCCAAATCTAAAGCAGCCAAAATTTGAATCCACCCAAATGTAAACTCAGCCATGTCAACTACTTGAAACTTAAGTTATGTGTAGTACTTTTTTGAGTATTATATCACAATTTAATTGGAAAACCCTATGGATATAATACTATATATTATTATTAAAAATAAATTGAATTAAAATCGATTTAAATTAATTTAAAATAGTCATCAACTCTAGCAAGAATGGATTGAAACTTGAAATGACCCTAGCTTGATATGGTCCATATTCAAAGTGATCCTTATTCCAAATCACTTGGAAGTTAAATAACTCTATCCGAAATATAACCTAACTTGAACTAAACTTGATTAAGTCCAATTGCCACCTCTTGTTGCATTCAATGATTGGGTTGCATTCTGAGTTAAGCACTATTATGCTCAAATTTTAGCAAATTAAAGTAACAATCTAGCTCCTTTTTTATTTGTTTTATTCATCTTTGAGGGTTTGTAAAAGGACTCTCTATTCTAGTTTTGCTTAATTGTTTCTTAGATCTCTAATTCTAATTTGATCATTTATCTATCAATAAAATATGTATAATTATATTCAAAACATACGTTGCTTTCTTGGGCCTTCAATATTAAATTTCAGGCTTTGTCCGATTGCTCGTTTATTAAACCAAGTTTGGTTAAGAATTATGCTGTCAAGTTCGCCTGTTATAGAAAACTGAGAAATGTTTAAATGTTTTTCTTAATTTAGGTGGTCAGATGTTGCTTGGAGCATGCATCCTCTGTGGCTAAGACATTCTTGATGTCCGATTGTGTGGTTGTGGAGATAAAGGAACCTGAGGCCGTGCCTGCTGGCAACCCCATGGATAATTCAGGTACGCACTTGAGAATTTAAAATATTGGAAATGCAACGATTTCTTGCTGTTTTCTGTTGTACATGTTATAGCTACTAACATGTTGGGACCTTGATTATGTCAGGATATGGCTACTAAAGCAGCAGATATAGGAAGGAAGGAAAGCGAATAAGTCATCATCCAGTCTCCAGGGTACCAAAAATTGATCATGTTTGAGAGTCGAGTGCATATTTTCTTTGTAAATCACTTGCCAGCACGGGAGAAACCATGGTATTCTGGTGAGATAGCTTGCTGGAGTGTACTTCAGTATACAATTGCAACAATTTTTAACAATTTTTTAGGGTAAGCAAGTTTTGTGTTAAATTCTCTTGCAAATTATAAGCTAACATCTTCCTTTCCTACAAACTAGGAAAATGGGTCTACCCAACAACACATTCACTCTTTTAAGTCACGGAGGACAAGGAGGAGAAAAAGAAAATAAAAAAATGAAGAAAGTTGTGAACAAATTAAATTAAATTTTTTTCTTCGAATTCGTGTAATTATCAGAAGTTAATGAAAAAATTTTATACTAATAGGATTAAATATATAGAGTAAAAAATTATAATGTGGATTTAATATATATATATTTATATATATATGTTAATATAAGTGTTTAAGTCATTGTATAAAGTTAATTCACATTAACTATAAAAGAAATGTTTGAAGTGCAGGAGGTGAAGATAGGTAAAGGAAGGTAGAGTCGAATTTTGCTGTTTGAGCAAAGAGATAATGCAAAAGTGGAGAATTTCCTTGAGTTATGTTGGAGAATCAAACAGATTCTAATGGAATAACATATTTGATGTGCTTCCAAATGATACTATCAAAATTTTTGCAAAGTTCATGTGGAGAAGGTTTGGATCACTTTAGCCAGTAAAAGCCATATAAAGGCTTAATGAGGTTTGTCAAAAGTGTAAGAAGAAAGTACACATTAGAGTTTATTGATTTGAACTTTAACTGTGAATAAAAGAGGAAACTAACAAGTAAGATGAGGGGCATTGTATACATCTGAATACAAAATTATAGGAAAACCAAATGAAGAGAGCAAGAAATAAATTAACTTGTATCTGTTAAGTAGATCAAACCACAAAGAAAAAATAATTGAATAAAAATATACATTCATAGCCCCAACAATAATTTACCTGTTTGCAATTCTCTATATCATAAACCTCTAAGCAAAACAAGCAAAGTTTTTTGAGTTTTCACTTTTATATTATAAGCACTCATAATATATAGAGTAACAATAATAATAATAATAATAATACTTGAATTAAACATAAAATCAAGCTGGAAAGTTAAAAGCTAACAATAGAGAAATAAACTTCATACTGAAAAATCCACAAAATAGAATATTTTGATGTAATTCAACATTGTAAAGTATTTACCCAAATTACACTTGCAAATATATCATCAAAAGCCTCCCTGGAAAAACAAAGTTATAACCGAACACCTTTATGCAGAACAAACAAATAAAAAACCCATTCGAAGATAGAATTTAAAGAACAATAACAACATTAACAACTCTACAGTAATTAACAAACAATAGATTTTAAAAAAAAATAGAAAAAATAAAAACAAATCTTAACAATTGAATTAAAAAAAATAATCATCCAATCATAAAATTTAAAAAGCGACAGCAAAGCCAATAACTCTTAACAATCGAATTCAAAAATTAGTATTTAACAAGCCAAAACTTCTAGCGAGAACCTAATGCTTGGACATTGCAACTCCTTATCAGGCAAAGGGGAACTGATTTGGTCTTGACAATTGATGTAGTCAAAGGGTTTAGGGCAATTAGAACTCAACAATTAGGACTAGAATAAAGTTGATTGTGTTGGAACAATGGAAAGATAATTAAGTTTTTAAAATAAACTTCTTGAATAAATATTCAAAAATAATAAAAGATAATAATAATAATTCTATATCTGGGATCACCTATTTATAATAGCTAAGATACATCCTAATCAAATAGTAATGCCAAGATAAATCCTAATCAAATAGTAATCCTAATCCTAAATAAAGACTTAAAGTACTAAAATTCTAATAAAAAAAATCTCAAACTAAATAAAATAAAATCCTAATCTAATAAAAATATTGAAAAAAATAAATTTTCATATGTACCTTCATTAGTCCCCTCGGGTCAGAAAAAGACTCGACTTTGACGAGTAGGCCTTGACATACTCCTTATAGATGTCTGGATCCACTCGTTTCAATTCTTTTTCTACAATCCAAGTGCTTTCATTAGCAGGCTTGCCAAGCCATTTCACCAAAAATCGTCTATACGGGTTCCCTCGTCTAGATTGAACCTCTTTCACATCTAGCACATCTTCAATAACTTCAACCTTAGCAATCGGAAGGTGTTGAATTTGAGCGTCTATGGTAGATGTAGTCCCATCACATCCCTTAAATGGATACAAGTCCATAACATTGAAAATAGGACTGATTTGCAACTCAGGCGGTAGCTCAATTAGGTAGGCATTTGAACTTATTTTCTTTAGCACCTTACAAGGTCCAAACTTTTTAGACTTGAGCTTGTGATAAGTACCCTTAAGAAATTTTTCTTGCCTCAAGTGCACAAGTACTTGATCACCTTCCTCAAATTCCTGCTTACGACGATGTTGATTTGCAGTAAAAGAGTATTCTGCATTGCTAGCTTTTAAAGTAGCCTTTACCTCTTCATGAATTTTTCGAATATGATCAGCAAATAACTCTCCTTCATTACTCACTCTGGCTTTTTGTGGTAGTGGTACTAAATCAAGCACATGTTGTGGTTTTAACCCATATGCAGCCTCAAATGGTGTCTTCTTTGTGCTTCGATTAACAGAATTGTTGTAAGCAAATTCAGCTTGAGGTATGACTAAATCCCAAGTCTTTGGGTTGTTTTGAATAAGACATCTTAGCATATTACCCAAACTTCGATTCACAACTTCTGCTTGACCATCTGTTTACGAATGGCAAGTACTAGAATACTTCAACTCTGTCCCAAATTTCCTCCACAAAGTTCTCCAAAAATATCCCATAAACTTCACATCTCTATCAGAAACAATGGAAGTTGGAATTCCATGTAGTCTTACAACCTCACAAAAGAATAATTCAACAATATGAGTTGCATTAGAAGTCTTAAAATACGGAATAAAATGTGCCATTTTTTAAAAATCGATCCACCACCACAAAGATAGAATCAAACCTTTTTACTATCTTTGGAAGTCCTAAAACAAAATCCATACTCAAATGACTCCATGGTGCATCTGGCTCAGGTAAAGAAACATATAAACCAGTGTTTTGAGCACTACTTTTACCAAACAAACAAGCTGGACATCTTTTCACCAACCTCTCCACATATCGGCGCATTTTTGGCCAATTATAATGATCAGCCACCATTGCCAAAGTCTTGTCTCTGCCAAAATGTCCTCCCAAACCATTCCCATGAAGCTCTCTAATGATTTACTCCTTCCAAGATCCATTTGGAATACGCAATTGGTTACCTTTGAATAAATAATCTTCATGCAACCTATAAGGTAAATTTCTAGCTTGTAATGAACCTTGCAAATCAGCTATTATCTTGTTGAAATAAGGATCGAAACCATATTGATTTTTAAGTTCTTCAAATCCTATGACTTGA